AGACCACAATCCTGTATTAACATGCCCAACTCATTTGACACTTCAATTTCATTCTGGAAAGAAATATCCAATTTCAAAAGTTTTATCAAATCCCTTCCCATTAGGTTGTGGGGACAGTTTGGGGCTATTAGAAATTCATGTTGGAAAGTCTGCTTTACTCCTGATTTATAGGTAACTGTGCAGTCTAGAGGTTTTGAGTAAAAAACTCTTGTAGCCAAACCATTAAATCCAGATACGATTTTCCACTTTTGAGAGGGCTCTAGACTGCATTTTAATGAACTAAATGTTGCTCCAGTGTCTACCAACAGTTTTCTGAGGCTGTCCCTCAATTGTTATTGTGATAAATTTTGGAGCCACGTTAATGCATCCCTCTCTATCTGGACCACGGCATCTTCATTTCGGTAATAAACTGAGTTGATGAGCAGCGACCTCTGGTCTTGACTCTGTCATCTGGTGAGTGGTCATATACTGTGGCTGTGGTTGGCCCAAGACCATTGGCTGTTGTGGTTGTACCTGTTGAGGTGCCCGATACATCTGGTGTATTTGTGGTTGCTGGTATGGCTGTTGCGGTTGTGCCTGGTGCACTTGTGGTTGTTGGTATTGCTGTTGTGGTTGTGCCTGGTACACTTGTGGTTGTTGGTATGTTTGAAATGGAAACTGCTGCTGACCTCCCTGACCTTGCATGTGTTGCATTCCTCCCGTTCTGCAGTTTCTTGCTATATGTCCGTACCGTCCACACCTGTAACACTTCATGTTTGATAAATCTCTGTCCTGTCTAAATTGTCCACCACCTCTACCTCTGTATTCCTGGGGAATGTCTGGAACCTCTGTTCCTGATTTCCATAGGGCATGTATCCATTCATTTGCCATTCATACTCTGGTTGCTGCTGTATTTGTCCAGTCTGTATAATCTGCTGTGGTTGCATCACCTGTGTCTGCGTCTGAGGCTGCAGTGGACTTGGATTACCACTAAACAACATTTCTGCTTTCTCCACTTTTTCTGGCTTTGGTTCAGATTTTTTAATCTCTTTAACTAATTCCTTAATCAGTGACAAACTATCATCAGTTTTGGGGCTGTTTTTCTTCCGAAGTAGCTTTTTAATAGTACAATATGACCTAACAAAAGCTGGCGAGTCAGTATCCAAATTCAGAATGTGTTTTTCTTTTTCAGCTGTCGGTAGCTCTCTGAGCATCCTCTGATAGAACATTTTTCTGATCAAATCATAGGTTGGGGTGGACTCTCTTGGATACAAAGCATCAAACTCCTTATTTAATCTATGCTTCATGGCCTCTGCTGTCTCTCCATCTTGCACTTCTAGATTTATGGTTTCCATAGCATTCATGGGCACAGGAAATAACGTTTCCATTTTTTCCATCACAGCTGAATACCATGCTTCCACTGAACAGCTGTTTGTGGCTCGAACTGCAACATTTTCAAATCCTGGTGACATGATTGGAAGGTGAACACCGAGGACGGTAGTGAGATCATTTAGGGTTAAATTTTGAGCAGGATAGTGTTCCAGGATTGACAACAAACATGCTCTGCCCCCATACTGCCTTGGGTCTTTCATTCTCGATTTTATAGAGTCAATCTCAGTTATAGTTAGCGGTTTACATGTCCTGATTTCTCTCCCGGACCTAGATGTTGATACCACAATTGGACACATCGACACATCTTCTCCTTGTCTGCGCCTAGCTTTCTTCTTGTTCTGTCGCCTCTCCTGTTGATAATAAATTTCCCCACTCGTACCGTCGTCATCTGAGTGTTCAGCTGTTACAAACGCATCTGAGCCGGTCATCAATAAATCTTCGTCTGACGAGCTTGATTCTGCATCTATAGTCTGATTAGATCGAGTAAAATAACGATGCTGTCTTTCTTTTCTAACTGTAATCGGCTTCTGAAAGCTGATTCTTAAATCTGTCTTCTTCCTAGCCTCTGAGTGCTGGTCCACTCCCTTCTGGGCCTCTCTGTCTGCGCCCCCCTCGCACCTCTGAGCTGTCACTCCTCCCGCCCCCTGCTCTCTCAGCTCTGCTCCTTTCTCTGCCTGGGAAGTAATCTCGTCAAATTTGGGACTAGAATGACTAATAAAGTTTTTTCCATTAAAACCATTTGCAAATGAATTTCCCCTAGTCCCTGGGGTATGCTGCAAGTGAGATGGGCCTCCCTGAATCGTGTGATTTTTAAGCTCATTTTCCAGTCTTGTCAATGTGTCATTAAATTGTCTTTCAGCCACTTGTGCCACAATTTCTCCAACCTGATCAATGTGTTTCTGAAGCTGGGTAGTCTGAGCTGTAACCTCCCGTACCTGCCTGAGCGCCTCTTGGGAGTATTTTTGATCCAGACTCTCCTCTCCTATGCTAGTCACGGTACATTTGATTGGCTCTTCAAATGTAATCAATGGAGCCATTGTTGCAGAATCTTTACTTTTCACTAATTCTGTTAAATCTGGATACAATGGAGCATACGGTGGAGGGGAAGAATCAGGAGCTGTACTTTGCAATTTGGCAGCAGTCATCCATTTCTCATTTAGTTTGATCATCATTGAAATCAGAGTAACCTCATCTGTCAACTTTTGAATTTTCTTATTTTCTAACGGCTTCTCTCTTTGCATTTGAGAACGTTTCTCCAAAAACTAATTCTCTTAGTTGTTTCATTAACCCTTCACTTGGAGGTGAATTTGACTTAGCTAAAATACCATCATTCTTTTTTGATTTTAACCATGTTCTAACGCTCCTTGTTGTTGTATTTTTAATCTCTGTTGTCCCCTCTAAATACTGTATAATCCCCTTTATCCACTCATCTAATGTTACAGATGCCATGTTTTCTACCGTCTAGATTACAAGCCTTGTGTTATCAATATCAATGTAAAGAATCAGCAATTGGGTGCGTAATCTTAGAGCGTCAGATCGTGGTATCTCCCCGTTCAACCACAAGTGGTGGGGAAATGTACGCACGAATCGTGACCCCGTCCTACGCGACCCAAATTACTGCGTTCACTGTGACCGTTTGTGCAATGGTCACTTTCAACAGAAAACATCAATCACTCATTCACACCAAGAGAAAAATTAAAAAGTGAGAAAAGTTAGACACTGTCCCTGTCCTCTCCCTCTCGTCAATTAATTAAAACACACAGTTTTCTCCTTAAATCACTGAGATAACACACAGTTGACTCCTTTAACTCATAAATCACTTAGATCTTCACACAGCTCTCCTCCTTTTAGGTTGACTATCAATCACTAAGATAAAAACACACAGTTTTTTCTTTTCGTCACTTAGACTTGAATACTATTATCCCAATAAATATAAAATACTTGCAAATCCTTCAATATTTACCCTACTTGGTGTTTGTTTGTTTTTTTATTTTTTTTATTTTTAGGTCTCAGGTCAGGTGAAAGGAAAGATTAATTAGTTGGTAACAATCTTACCGTTTTACTTTGGCGCCAAATTAATCTTTTCTCTGACCGGTCCTAGTGTCTCCTGTCGAAATCCTGTTCGAGCGACGCCAAGTTCTGCAGTAATTTGTCAGAATTCCCCCGCCCCAGAAGCTGCAGAGAGGCCGCAAACACAGCCCTTCGTTCTGCAGGTCCTTTTAGTTCAACAAGAGACAAAAACCAATGTTAAAACAGTAATAGAAATGACAGATACCAAACCTGATTTCAAAAGGTTATATTGAAGATTTTGCAAGCAATATTACAAGATAACGGTCTGCGAACACAAGTCTCGCTTCGCGTCCAAGATAAGGAGTGGCCCCGGGGACGTCTTTCACCCTCCTGGTCAGAAGAAAAAGAAAAAGCCCCCGTGCCTCCTCCTGTACATCTTTTATACTGTACACCCAAGGTCACTGACATCACAGATTCGTGGACTCTATGACTTCTTCTGGCCAGCTGCCAAAGCCTGCACCTGCTCTGATAACCACAGTTGTTTTTCTCTTGTCCCCCTCCCATTCTCACACAGACTAACCTTGAACTCACTGCTCTTTGAGATTTACACAAACAAGTGCTAATTTGGCAATAGAAACAATACTAAACTGTTTTTAGTTTTAACTGGTGCAAGAGTTAATATTCCAACAAGACGAAGTCATGATGCCTACGCTTGGTGAGCTCGCCAAGTGGTTTTGGACACCCCTGCAATAGCCGTCGCTTGAGGAAGTGACGTCACGATGCCTACATATCCACCCTACGCGGCCCGATGCCTACCGTTTTGGACACAGCCATTGTGTGCCAATCATGAACTCTCTGACCCGGCATGGATTTGCCCCTGTGTACGGAGGTTTTGAGGGCGCCGCATTTCGGATTAATTGGATTCATAGAATATCTGCCTATTTTTGACCGCTACATTGCATTTAAAATTGTCCCTCTCAAGGCGATGTGTTTTCCCTATTGTTGTGGCTGTCTCCTCTCCACTCTTATCTACATTCCTCCGGCCAAGGCCACTGATAAACTGGTTCCTCCATACTACACACCAATTTGCAGCTCCAGCACGGATCCCGCTCCCCCCGCCCAGGGCTGGACTGGCCATCGGGCGTACCGGGCAATGCCCGAAGGGCCAATGCCCATATTTGGGCCGGTCTGTCTGCCTCATACAAAAAACATGTTTGTGAAAAGTGTATATCCGTTGAGAAATGTTCGAGGGAGCGCGCGTGTCCGCGGGGCACCTGCTGTATGTACTCGAACGGGATTCCACCACCTCAGCGGCCGCAGTGTTCTTCTTCTTATTATAATTATATGGTTTTATAAACCTAAAACCATCAAATTCCCTTGGATTGTGCCATCAACATATGTATATGCAATTATTATATGCTGTTACCTTTTCTGGAGTTTGATGGGCCCCCGGAAAATGGATAATTCAACTCTATACCCACCAAAGAGGAGTCAGTACCTCTTGTTTACAAGATTTCTCAATTTTGGACATGCCAGGCCGCCCCCAGGTAAAACTGATCAATCATTTAAAATCATTTAAATCTAGATCATCCCTGGGGGCTTTGGAACTTGTGTTTATACTACTTTTGGCTGGTGACATTGAAATAAATCCTGGTCCAGGCCTAGATGGACAACAGCAAGCAGGCCCAACAACTGAGCTAATCTGGCTACAACTACAGCTACCCTGGTTCTTACCTCAGTTGCCTGGGCTACAGCTAACCAGGCCTCCACCACCTGGGCTACAGCTATTCGGGCCTCCACCACCTGGGCTACAGCTACCTGGGCCTCCACCACCTGGGCTACAGCTACCTGGGCCTCCACCACCTGGGCTACAGCTACCCGGGCCTCCACCACCTGGGCTACAGCTATTCGGGCCTCCACCACCTGGGCTACAGCTACCTGGGCCTCCACCACCTGGGCTACAGCTACCTGGGCCTCCACCACCTGGGCTACAGCTACCCGGGCCTCCACCACCTGGGCTACAGCTATTCGGGCCTCCACCACCTGGGCTACAGCTATTCGGGCCTCCACCACCTGGGCTCCAACTACTCGGGCCTCCACCACCTGGGCTACATCTTCCCGGGCCTCCACCACCTGGGGCTACATCTTCCCGGGCCTCCACCACCTGGGCTGCAGCTACCCGGGCCTCCACCACCTGGGCTGCAGTTACCTGGGCCTCCACTACCTGGGCTACAGCTACCCGGGCCTCCACCACCTGGGCTACAGCTAACCGGGCCTCCTCCACCTGGGGTACAGGTGACTGACCCTCCATTACAAAAAAAGGTCAGAAATCCCATTTTCCAAAAACATCGGACTTCTAAGATATTTCACACACTTAATCAGGCAAAGATTATCTGGGATCCGCAAGCCAAACCAAAAGGCTTATTAGGTGGACACCTGAATATACGGAGTATGGCACCTAAACATGAAGAGCTTCAACATCTGCTCTGCAACTCGAACATTGACTTTCTGGGGCTTTCCGAAACCTGGTTAACACCCAACTCTCCAGACTCAGTGGTAACTATGCCGGAGTATAATGTCTACAGGAATGATAGGGAACATGGGAGGGGTGGAGGTGTTCTACTCTATGTTAAAAGCGCTCTAAAATGTAGACGAATAAATTGGCCGCAAGACATCCAGCTTGAGTGTGTTGGTGTAGAACTCTCTCTCTCCCCTGCAATGAATTTCATTATAATTTGTCTATATCGGAAACCATCTGCTAAATTGGACTTCTATGACAAGTTAAAACTTCTTCTTGATCATTTGGATATAAACAAAGAAATCATAATTATTGGAGATTTCAATATAAATTGGAATGATAAGAAAGTTCGAAAAAACCTGAAACAACTCACTGAACATTCTAATTTTAACCAGTTAATAGAACAACCTACTCGAATAACTTCACATTCAAAAACATTGATAGACTTGCTCTTTGTAAATAAACCTGAAAGAATCATCAAAACTTTTAACTTTGTGACTGGGTTGTCTGATCACAATGCTATCTTCTTCTCAAGAAAACTTTCAAAAAACGTTTTGAAGACTCATATAGGCCAAATGTAAAAGACTCACCGAAAACCATTATTCCCAGAAGATCATTACCAAATCTTGTAGTAGCCTTGCAATGTACCGATTGGAACGAAATTACTCAAAGTGAGGATGTTGAAATTAGTACCTGTCTATTTCACAAGAAAATTAATGAAGTATTGTTAAACTTTACCAAAAAAGAAAGCCATAACAAAAAAAAGAGAAATCTATTACCATGGATAAATGACGAATGTAAGAAACTGATGAGAGACAGAGATAAGCAATTAAAGAAATATATCAAATCCTGCCTCATCACAGATAGGTATACATTTACCTCACTGAGAAATAAGGTTATTCAAAAAATGCGGAAAGCCAAAGCAACATTTTTTATGAATATTCTTTCTGAAGCAAATGGAAATCCCAAGAAGATCTGGCAAAATCTAAATAAATTAGCTGGGAAAGATGATAAAGCAAAACAGCAAGGAATTGAGCTAAAAATAAACAACATTTCTGTGTCGGATCCAGATATACTGACAAATGAATTTAATAACTATTTTGTCAACTCTGTCAGGGAAATAAGTGAGTTATTTGCATCCTCTGATTTGAAAACAAGGTCAATTGATCCCACACAGCCTGTCTTTCGTTTACGTGAAATAACAGGGCTAGAAGTTTCCAAAATTATTGGTTCACTAAAAAATTCGAAAGCCAAAGACATTCATGGTTTGGACACTCATCTTCTAAAATTATGCAAAGAGTCTTTTATTGCACCAATAACACAAATGGTTAATTTGTCACTCAATCAGGGAGTTGTTCCATCCTCCTGGAAACTGGCCACAGTCGCTCCAATTTTTAAATCTGGTGACAGATCGCAAATATCCAATTATCGACCAATTTCTATACTTCCAGTTGTTTCCAAGATTGTTGAGAGATGGGTAGCAAATATTTTAAATGAACATCTGAACAATAGTTCATCTAGCTTGCATCCCATGCAATTTGGTTTTAGAGCAAACCATTCCACTGAATCAGCAAACAGCTTCTTTATAGAAAATGTAAAAAGTAAATTAGATATATATCCCTGTGTTGGTGCAGTGTTCCTTGATCTTAAAAAGGCATTTGACACTGTCAGCCATGAAATTCTGATAGCAAAATTAACAGACTTCAACTTCTCGGCAGAGGCCATTCAATGGATGAAATCATATTTAGCTTCACGAAAACAATGTGTACATATTGGCAGTGTAAAGTCATCAATCCAGGATGTCCCAGTCGGTGTGCCGCAAGGATCAATACTTGGCCCCCTATTATTCTCACTGTACATAAATGATCTTCCCAAAACATGTACTAATGTGAGTTTTCAAATGTATGCAGATGATGCTGTAATATATACTCATGCAAGGAGCGTTAAGGAAGCAGCTTCCATTCTGACCTCAGCCATGGAACAAGTAAATGACTGGCTATTTAAATCATGCTTGCTTCTAAATTCTAAAAAAACGGTCTGTATGATGTTCTCCAAGCAATCAAAAGTGATGAAAAATTCTGGAGTTTTCTTGAGAGGGGAAGAACTACAACTTGTCACAGAATTCAAGTATCTGGGTCTGACACTCGATTCCACTCTATCTTTTAAAGATCATATAAAAAAACTGGCCAACACCATTAAATTCAACCTTAAAATTTTTAAACAAATCAGGTCTTTTTTAACACTTAATGCAGCCAGAATGTTTCTCCATTCAATGATTTTATCCCATGTTGAATATTGCATCACAAGTTGGTCTCTCACCTCTGTAACCAATTTGAAAATAATTGAATCTCTGTATAAGAAATCTCTTAAAGTTTTTGACAGAAAACCCAAATAATTTCATACATGCAATATTTTAAACAAGCACAATCTTTTAAATTTTGAAAGTTTTATCAACTTTAAGTATGTATGCTTCATCTACAAAGCGCTACATGGACTAGCCCCACCTCCTGTATCGGCCCTATTCAAACCTAGGACTTCAAGTGGCCTGAGGACTAGGGCCTCCTGCAGAGGAGACTGTGAGGTCCCCTTCAGAAAAACTACATTTGGACAGAACACTCTCTCTGTGAGGGCCATGAACATCTGGAACAGTCTCCCTCTGCACTTACGGGAGAGTCCTACACTGGTCACCTTTAAAACTCAAATCAAACAATGGATTAAGAGAAATCAGTCATGTGACCACTAGACTCTGAACTATTCTCTGTGCTAGTTGTATTATAGTGTTATTTTGTATTTTATTGTATTGTATTTTGTTATGTATTTTCCTGCCTAGGGACTACGGATGAAAACTAGCTTTGTAGCTATAATCCGGCATATTTACATTTGTTTTATACTGATGTTCATTAATGTGCATTGTCCCTATCAAATAAATAAATAAATAAATAATTAATTCCGGCAGGCTGTACGCTGGCGTGCGCAATGCTGCCCTCCACAGTTATGAGACCGTCAGTACTCTAAATTCTCAAAAAAGTGCCTGTGCGGCGGAGGAATAAAACAATGGCTCTGTTAACTCCTTGAGTGTTTTCACGACTTGAAAAAATTGACTTAAATGAAAAAGAAGTTAGCCCCAAATCAGCCAATTCCACAAATAGTTGTTGTCGTTCCTTGGAGTATTTTCTGCATACTCCAAGATGTGAGAAACAGTCTCCAATGTCCCACAAGTGCACAGTCCATCTGCATGTTTACTTATTCCAGTGTTTTTCAACCTTTTTTGAGCCAAGGCACACTTTTTTCACTGAAAAAATCTTGCGGCACACCTCCAGGAGAAAATGTAAAAATGTATACAGTACTAATGTAAAAATATATCCTGTACATACTCTGTGTGATATATAAAGTATATCTTATCTTATCTTATAATGTATACAGTATACTCTGTAGCCTATATTCACAATATACAGTTATTCTCATCAAAATGCTTAAGTCCAGGCCTTGACATTAAGCTTTATTTAACATTTCTCGATACATTTAACAAGAGTTTGGTAATAAAGTGGCACTAACTGTGTGGAAAAAAACTAAGAAAATCCACTCTCTGCCCAAATAGTCAAATAATAACTCACACAAAGAACATGCATTGTTAGTGCATGGGAAAAATTTAGGTATCCGAGCTTTAAATTCAGGAGTTTTGGATGAGGGACACGGGCGGTCCTGAACGCGAGTCCATGGTTCTGTCCGGTCCGCATGTCTGTGGTTCTGTCCACTCGACTATGGTCTGCGCTCGGTACCCAGTTCAGAAGTGCGTTCGCGAGAGCTGCTGTACAAAAATTGTACATTTCATAGTTAAACCACTACAATGCGGCCACAGCTGCCCCGGGGCAGAGCGGAGGATGTTAATCCTGTTCAGAAACGGCATAATTCATTTTCAAAAACGTCTCTATCACTTTCACTTCTCACTCGCCACAAAGCTCTTGTCTCGCTCCCTCCCACATTTGTTGGTCGCATCCAATTTTACCTTTCTCGCCAAAATGCTGACCTGTTACAGCCAGTGGTCGCATCCAATTTTTCAGTTTCAAAGTACTTAGCTATCTGCTGCCATCTACTGATTTGAAAAAGTATTACATGGTTACTCCACAGTTCAAAACAAGTCACCGCTCGTCAACAGCGAATGCAGTTATTTTTAGACAAAGTAGACGAATTTCTCACGGCACACCAGACAATATCATACGGCACACTAGTGTGCCGCGGCACAGTGGTTGAAAAACACTGACTTATTCTATACATAGTTCCCACAGACCAATGAATGTCACATGACCTCCTCGGAGACGCCATCTTTGATGGCACGCTGCTGTGTTTGTGCATTCCATTAAACAGAAGAATGAGAATAAATGTAGATATTCAAACGCAAATTGGAAAAAAGGGCAACTTTTGAGCAAATAATTGTATATTAATACAATGGCACCACAGTTTAACGTGCTACGGACATGTTTTACATATTTGATCAAATTATGCAGCAAAAATTAACAAGCAATGCAAACATTTCTCAAAAACTTTAGATTTAATACCAGTTGGAGCTCCATTTAATTATTTTAATTATATTAACAATTAATTTAATTAATGCTAATGCCACACGGACACTCTGGATTGCTGTTATTGTTTATTTCCGCGTTTTTGACCGTATGTTTTGGTGAATGGTGGGCAACTGATTTTTCCAGGCATAAAGAGCAGTTTATTTTATGACACAGATCTTTTTACAGAAGCAATGCTGTTTGTGAACATTGTTTTAGCCCACCATAGAACTA